TATATATATATATATATATATATATATATATATATATAAATACATCACACATAAGGCTATTTTGCCATCATTTTTTCTTTCATTCAATACAGTGAAATGAACATATTCAAATTAAATCAATTCTATAGCAGTATTTGTTAAAAATATAGAGGAAAATTGCAATTTTCTTAGCCACAGGGTCTTACATGCTTATTAACTAAATGTATTTTAAAATTTTATATAAAAACAACAACTACACATATTACCATGTTCTATTTCAGTATTGTATAAATTTTATAATGTACAGATGACTTAAAACATATCTATCTAATCAAGCATTTATTTCTCTATGGTGAAAACATCAAAAGTTGTTTATTCTAGCTCTTTGAAATATTCAGTGCACTTTTGCTGTCTACTAGTAGTCACCTATCATTTACACCAGAACTTCTTGCTCCTTTCCCCCCCCACACTTTTTATTGGTACATGTTTTAGTCAGTTTTTTTTTTCCACTGCAACTCAAGGCCCTACCAGAACAATTGTAGAGGAGGAAAAGTTTATTTGGGGGCTCATGGTTTCAGAGGTCATCACAATCCACAGACAGCAGGCTCCATTCCTCAGGGCTTAAGGTGAGGCAGAACTTTATGGTGGAAGAGTTGCATAGCTAAGTGGTTCACATGATGATTAGGAAGCAGAGAGATTCCACTTCCACATACAAATATATACTCCAAGTCACACCCCCAATGCCCTACTCTTCCAGCCACACCCCACCTGCCTTCAATCACCACTCAATTAATCCCATCAGACGATTATGTCACTGACTGGGTTAAGGCTCTCATAACCCAATTAGTTCTTCTCTGAACCTTCTTGCATTGTCTCAAACATGAGCTTTTGGAGGATACCTCACATCCAAATCATAACAGTACCTTATAAGACAACATAATGGTGGGATTTGTTGTTCTATACTCATCTATGCACACGAAACAACAATATAGTTTGGCCGATATCAGTCTCCTTTGTTCCCATCTTGACTGGAACTCGTACCATTGTACGAGTTTAAACTCGTGGATTAAACTCCTCCCCTCCCCCACCTTCCCTCTACTCTCCCTCTCTCCGGTAACCACTGTTCTACTCCCAACTTTTATGAGGTCAACTTTTTTAGGTTCCACATATAAATAAGATCATGTGGTACTTGTCTTCCTGTGCCTGGCTTATTTCACTTAACATAATGATTTTTAGTTCCACTTATGTTCTCACAAGGGACAAAATTTCATTATTTTAATGGTTGAATAGCACTCTGTTGTGAAGATATAACATAGTATCTTAACTTTTTCATTGGCTGTGGCACCTAAGTTGTTTAAACTTCTTGGGTATTGTAAATAGTGCTGCAATGATCACAAGAGCACAGCTATCTCTTAGATACACTGATAATTTAACTTTGGAGAAATACCCATTAGTACCAGAGTCTTTTAAATTCGTACTATTCATGCTGTGTGAATTTTAAGTAAATTATTAACAAATACTTGTAGTTAATCTGTACATACTATTTGTTTTTGTTATCAGAATTTTAGAGGTGTTTTCAGCAGAGGAAAAAAAATAACTTCTTCCTATTTTTTTTTAAGAGCAAGATTCACTTGAGTCCTATCTTGATTTATTGTAATTAGTTTTCAAAAACAAAAATTCATCCTTCAAACCGTGAAAAAGGAGCTGCCACATTGGGCAAGAAAAAGTTGATTTTTGCCAGAACTGTTCCACTCCCATCTATTCCATCCATTGAGTTCCATATAAAATTATTGTATATGACACAAAAACGGATTCAGGTGACTTAAAACAAAAGCTTGAAGAACAGTGTATAAGAGACCACTCAATGTCACTGAGGATTATTGGCCAAGGATAGGGCTTATCAGAGTTCCTGAAGAGAAATGCTCATGCAGGTAGTAAATTGCTGTAGAATGAATTCTGGTCTCCCTCCAAAGTCCCCAATTCCCACATTTATATATTGAAGTCCTAATCCACTCTGATGGTATTACCATC